GAAATCTCAGCTTACTCAGCATTTGAAAACACATATAGGAAATAAACCCCATATTTGCCCTGAATGTGGGAAAAGTTTTGCCAGGAAATCACCACTCATTGTGCATATGTGAATTCATACGGGAGAGAAACCATATTTATGTAGTGAATGTGGAAAAGGATTTATTCAGAAGGGCAATCTTTTGATACATCAACGAACTCACATGGGAGAGAAACCCTAAGGATGTACTGAGTGTGGTAAGGCCTTTAGCCAGAAGGTGTGCCTCATAGCACATCAGAGATACCACACAGGAAGGACACCCTATGTGTGTACTGAGTGTGGGCAAACCTGTTCCCAGAAGTCGGTGCTTATTAGACATCAAAGAATTCATACTGGTGAGAAGCCATACAAATGCAGCGATTGTGGGAAAGCCTTCATTACAAAGGCAAAGCTGATTACCCATCATAGAACTCATAAAGGAGAGAAACCATACGGATGTGATGAGTGTAAGAAAGCCTACTCTGATATGTCTTGCCTTGTTAAACATAAGAGAACACACAGAATGGAGAAATGCACAGATATACTGAAGGTGAATGATTCTACAGTGAGTGACACATTTTTGGACAATAGTAAATTCATGCAAGAGAGAAATCCTGTTAATATAACTGCAAATACCTCCAGTGATCCCTAATGTGTTAAACATGAGTGGGCTCCTAGCAAATAGAAATGTGGTCCCTGTGGGACAGCCAGTGGTGAGATGTTCACTCTCAGGAGAAAACAGGGTCTATACCAGAGAGAAATCTCATGAATGTAGTGAATGTGATTGTGCCTCCAATTGTTAATCATGTTTTGTTTTATGTTACAAACGTAGGAAAAAACCTTTGTATGTGCAATATGGAAAAGCCTTGATGAATATTTGCTAAAATTTAACATTTGAAATCCTGTGAATATAAGAACTCAGAAAGTTTTGGATTATGATAGGTCATGTAATGATTGTGAGAAAGCCCTTGCCCTCAAGTAATGGAGTTGCATACTGGAAACGGGAAAGGCAATAACTGGTAGGGCCTGAAGTATCTTCTGCCTTTCCCATTAACATAAAAATCATAAAAACACCCCACTAAACATATTAAGATTTTGAAGCAAACCAGTCCTGTGAAGAAGAATGTTTTACAAGTTTTATTCCTTTCTCAACCTAATTATACTGGACAAGAGACCTTGAAACATACTCCTATTTGTTAGTGATCCTATGCTTTAAAAGATATAGCCTTGGATTGTAGATACAGCTCTGATACTGCACTGACCCACAGCCCTGTATTTGATCCCCAGAACAGCAAAAATAAAGCCTCTGTTTCACATTAGGTTATTTTGTATTCATTTTTATTTGTGGCTCCTTTTAAGTGTTTTTTGTTTTTATTTTTTCCTCCCAGTTCTCACCAAAGATTATATAATTAGCTATTGCATTTATGTGGCTCTAAATTTAAATATTTCAGGACTGAAAATTCTTTGAAGATATGGAGTGGGGAACAGGATTAGGGAATACATTGCTGGGTCCCTGTGGTTGTGACATCAAGTCAGAAATGTATACAGGAAGTAATGTAATGGACTATACAACTGAGTCATAAAGGTTGGGGTCAGGCAACAGGATCTGGTACAAACACTATCACTAGTGATCTAGCTCAACCCCTGCCCTATAGGGTTTTAGTGTTTGGGCACTAATCTGTCAGCAAGGACAAGGCAGGGAAAGCCTTGCAGCATGCCTTGATTAGGTAATCCCAAAGTGGTTACCTCAGATACTCTGAGTAAGTGCTGGGTCTACCATGCGGATATTGTTTTGTTCTAGGTTAAAGTGACATGTCCATCTTGTTAGTAGTAAATGTCAGCAGCATTCCAAATACCAAAATATATACTCATAGACCCAAGTTATAGCCTGCCAAAATGACTGTGGGACCTGTTCCCTTCACCTCTAAAAGAAGAGCTAGATGTTCCTTGCTTTAACTTACCTGGTTCTGTGGCAGAATGTCATAGCCACAACTAATAAAACCTGTGTAGGAGGGCTGGCACTCCTGATACATCACTCTTGATTACCCAGAAGTGTGTCTCTGGTAACAATGAAACCAAGGACAGGATTGTTGGTAGTCATTTGTATTGTAGCTTCATTAAGAATGTTGTTCCCAGGGCTGGCCAGATAGTTCAGCAGACTAAAGCACCTGCTTAGGAAGGCACAGAGACCAGAGTTCAATCCCTGGCTTGCCGTGCCAGCTCCACCCATAGGGTGCACTGAGTCAGTAACAGACAGGGTGGGATGGTGCATGCCTGTAATACCAGCACTTGGGAGGCTGCAAACAGGAGAATCGCTGCAAGTCTGATCTGTGTAGTGAGACCCTGTACTATATATATGTTTGCAGTTTTTCTATACAAATGAGATGTCCTTCAATAGGTCCTTCAGCTGCAGTACAAAAGGCACATACATAGATGAGACCTGAAACTCATTTGTCTTTTTTTTTTTTTGTATTTTAGTACAAGGTCTACAGGGTCTCTCGCTACATAGATTGGACTCGTAGTGATCCACCTGTGTTCAGTCTCCCAAAAGCTGTGATTACAGGCGCACGCAACAACACCATCTCAGCGCGCCCCAGGGGTGGGACCGGCAGGGCATGCTGGGGATTTAACCTCAGCCACTGTGTGTGCCTCAGTAGGCTCTTTAATCCACTGAGCTGTTTGGCCAGCCCTGAAACTCATTTTCTTGAGGCTTGTACTGATTTGCACTGCACTGAGTCCTGGGCATTTATAGCTTCTCATTGCCTGTTAATAATAAACTGACTTCGTGTAATGTGTATGGTTTTTTTCTCACCAGATTCAGACAAGGTACTAACCAGTATCACCAGTTCTTAGACTCCATTAACTTCTATTTCCTCTATGCCCTGGTCTTCGACATTGCCAGCGATCTAGGAATATAAAGTTCAAGGTCTTGTAGAACTAACAAGCTGCGCTCTTCCTGATGGAGGTCGTTCACTGCTGAAGCTATGTTTGGTCTTCTGATGGAGCATCCTCTTTCTTCCTGTCTCATCCAGAGGTGCTCTGAATGAGTGTTGCATATGCTAGTACTGAATTAAGAGGATAGTACATGTTCTCAGGTGAATTTAATCTTGTTCTCATAGTTTACTCTATAAAGAGCTGAAGAGATTGAATAGGATGGGAGAGGCAAATGAGATCCAGAAGAGTGGGCGGAACCTAGGTGTAGACTGCAGTACTGTTTAATTTTTAATTTTTAATTTTTGATGGTACCAGGGATCAAACTCAAGGTGTTGCACTTGTCAGACAAGCACTTATTCCACTGAGCTATCTCTCTGACCCCAAGACTGCAGTACTGTGAATAGGCCTTTAGAAGGTATTTTGGGGGTTCATCTATGTAATTACTGAACTGTTATGGGTAATATGAGTAAGCCATGGCACAAAGCTGATGTCAGCATAAGGCTCACGCTAAATCTTCCTGGAAAATGGGTTTAAAGATGGGCCTGAAGTAAATTATTTAGGCCTATAAATAGATGAATTGTAATCAGGGTGATTTCATCGGTAATGTAAAAAAAAAAAAATTAACAATGCTTAGTAACATGTGGGGTTTATCTCAAATGTTTATTAAGGATTTTTATATAGACTGCCTAATTGCTGCAACCCATGCAGCTCTTGATGTTCCTGGGGAAAAATGGTGAGACGCTTAAGAAATAAAGATGAGATTAAAACTGAGGTCAGGTGGAACCCTCTCTCCAAGGGGAAGAAAAGAACTGCTCAACCATCATAGCTGGTTTATTTATACATTTGAGAGACAGTCAAGTGACACACAGTTACCTGGCAACTAATGGCTGGAAATGTCTCAGGCAAGGTGTTTCTGTGCACTGAAGCAGCATGGTTGCTCCAGGTGCTCTTCATTCTCCTACAGGAGTTGCTTTGCCCCCAGTGTGTCATCAATTTCCAGCCTTAGCCACTCTACAAATAATTATAGATAATAAAAAAGCATTGCTGGGCCAGGGAGATGGCTCAGTAGAGTAAGTGCTTCCCTGGCAAACGCAAGGGGCTGAGTCCAATCCCTGGTTCTGAGAAATAAAAAGCATTGCTATTAAGACCATAACACATTGCTGAATTTTAGCTCTTGAATATGAAGTCTTCAGCATAAATAATAGACTGTTAAGTCTAAAAATTGCATTATAGAAACTTGTTCATTCTTACATGGTAGATAACCCTGAAATTTTCCACGCATTGCATATACATTCACTATACAGAGTTAAATTAGTTGAGAATCTTGTCTAATAAGCAATTGTATCTTCTTTAATAAAAAATTTTTAAAAAGGTCAAAATGGAGATAGGGATGTATTATTATATTATTATTATTATTATTATTATTATTATTATTATTTAGGATAAAGAATACACTCTAAAAGATAAGATGGCATGGTGGCACATGCCTGTAATCCTAGCTCTTGGGAGGCTGAAAACAGGAGGATCACTACAAGTCCGAATTGTGTAGTGAGACCCTGTAGACCCTGTACTAAATACATAATAAAATAAAATAAAATAAAATAAAATAGATAAAGGCTCCGATGTGGGTCCAAAGTGCTTGCCTAACATGAACAAAGTCCTGGGTTCAATCCCCAGTTCTGTAAAAATAAGTAAAGAAATGATAAATGGTATATAAACTAGTAATATGGTTATCATCAGTTACTGTATCATGTAATGTAAATAAGTATATTTGTATGACTGCCAAAGTAGGTTTGTTTATAGTAATACCTGTTGATATAATATTGGTTTCTGTGTTAGGTGGCAGGTCCCAAGAACAATGTGTGGTAGATGGAAAGAAAACAGAGATAAAGTCATGGGATCAGGAGACTACAGTCTCTAGGACTGAAACTTCTATTACAATTTTTATTTTTTTCCTTTTATCATCTAAAGAAAGTAGAAAATAGTAAAAAGAAAAACTTGTAGAATTTCACGAAACAAAACAATAGGAATTTGACAATGGTTGGTGTATTGCATAATATTGTCTTCAAATTAATTATACAGGTTACCAGGTATAAGCATGCACAATTGGTTAAAAAAATGTTATAAGAAATTAAAAAGGACAAGTAAAAAAGGTAAGTATCAACTTCCCCCCTCTGTAGAACAGCAGAAATCAGCAGTACAATTATCCAGCTATCCTGCATACATACATAGATACATCTCTTTCCCCCACTCCTGCCCTCTCTTGTCTTTTTTATCCCAGTTTTTCCTTCCCATTGAATATTCTTTCCCTTTCACACTATTTGTTGAACATTTAAGATTTTATTTGCTTTCAAGTTCTTACACTAGCAAGACAATACCATGTTTACTCATGTAGATCTGATTTATTTCACTTATGAGTATGGTCTCTGCTTGCATCCATTTGCCTATAAAAGGCTCAGATTTATCTTTTCTATAGCGAGTGATACTGCATTATGTAAAAAAACCCCACATCTTTTTAATCCATTCCCCAGTTGATGGGCATTTGGGTTGTTTTCAAGATTATCTATGACAAATTGTGCTGCTATAAACATGGGTGCACATATATCACTGTGGTACCATGTTTTCAGTTCATTTGGAAAAATAACCTAAGAGGGAAATAGCTGGATTGAATGGAACTTCCAATTAGAGCTTTCTGAGGAGTCTCCACACTGATTTCCACAGTGATTGTACGAGTTTGCACTCCTATCAACAGTGGAGAAGAGTTCTTTTTTCCCTATAGCCCTGCCAGCATTTGTTATTGGTTGACTTCTTGATGATAACCATTCTTTCTGGGGTGAAATGGAATCTCAGTTTGGTTTTTTTTTTTGTATGTAGTACAGGGTCTACAGGGTCTCATTATGTAGATCGGACTCGCAGTGATCCTCCTGTTTACAGCC